GCAGAGGAAGTGGAAACCGCGCGAGCAGAGGCACACAGCGTGAAACTGCTTGCTGTGCTCTGGGGTGGCCCTCACACCGCTTTGTCTTCGAACCAGGAGAAAAGGAGGGGTGTGGGGAGGAAACCAGTTCGATCCCTGACGCTGGGGTAGGTCTAAAGAGGTTTGGGAATATAAATCCTAGCAGATAGAGAGCTGCCCGGCATGATTCTGGGGAGATTTGTAGGAGCCGAAATGGGAGCGGCCAAGTTTCTGAAAGTCCGGGGCTCCGGTGGCAGCGGGGGCCTGCGGGAGTTTGTGCCGCTGCGGGCATTTGGCTCTCAGGACGCTCTGCTGTGGGTCCCCAACCCCGACGGCTGACCCGCGGATCTTCGGGGCTCGCAAAGCCCTCTCGAGGCCTCAGAGCCTGCAGATCCCACTCCCTGAGTATGGAGCCTCTCTGCGCTCCGGTCACCGCTTGGGCAACTCACGCGGCTCCGCCGAGAGCCCGCGGTGACAACTGCCGTTCCCTGGTCCGGGGACACCAGCACGCTTACCGCTGCCGGTCGCGGGCGACCCTGCCCGCGCAGCCTCCTCACACGCAAGGCGGACGCGCGCCGCAGCAACCCGCGCAGGCCCAGACCCGCGGCGCATCGTCTTGCACGAGGCTGGCGAACCGCCGTAGCGCCGTCAGAGGCTCGAGGGCGAGCGTGCGCCTTAGTTGCTGCTGTGGCGCGCGTTTGTTTATCGCCTCACCTGGGTTTTTAACCCTTCGCCCCCCCCCCCACCCTGCCCCCTTGATTTTGAGAGGTTTCTCTCCTCGAGCTGTTTTGGGTCAGGCAGTCTAACAATAGGAGTGGCTCCCGGCCTACACGTCTCAGAGCTCCCAGGGCGCTGGACGGAAAAGGTGGGTGTGTGGAGTTGTCACCTCACGGAGGCGCGATTCGAACCCTGGCGGAGGGAATCACCTTCCCGATACTGGGGACGCACTATTAAGGTCTCCCGGGGAAAAAAGTTCGTGCCGACCTCCTCTCTCAGGGCTGCCTTCCCTAGGGGACCCGCGCCCGCCGCCTGCCGCCATTTCCCAAACGGCGGACCTCCGGGGCCTCGGCCGCGACTCGCCGCCCGACATCAGACCCCCGCGCGGTGGGACACCTCGGCGGGCCAGTGTTGCCAATGACCCTTCTCCCCTCGCCGCCTCTTTCCCGACCCCCCTCACCCCCAGACGAGCCACAAACCAGCCATTCAGGCGACAAAACCCGGCCCGGCGCATTGTCCCGCGGAGCTCCCGGCCACCGTCATTCAGCCCCACAGTGCATACGCCGCCTGACGGCCCTGCGGTGCGCTCGACCCCCATTCACTGCCGCCCCCGAGCCCCGCCTCACAATAGGAGCGGAAATCGTCCGCGCTCCCGCGTCCCGGCTGAATAGAGCAAAAAAGCTGCTTCTCTTCTCCTCCCGCCCCATTCACGTTCTCTTTGGATACAATATTTTTTTCCTTTTTGTTAAAGTGGGGAGAAAGAGGCAAGTCCAAGGAAAATTTGGAGATTGAGCTTGCCTGTCATTTGATGTAAACAAAAACAATCCTCCCACCCCAACCTCTCATCTCCTCAGTTTTTATAAACAAACTGGAGGAGGGAAAGGGGGCGGTGCGGGGGGGGGGGGGGGGAGTGATAACGGCGCTTGCAACGGGAATGCAAAAAAAAGTGGGTCATTAAAGTGGAGGAGAGAGGAACTGCGGCATTTGGGGAGCGGGAGCCATCGCGCTTTTGGTGGAACTGGCGGGTGGTTGAAATATTTATAACCGATAAAGGGGCCGGAGTTGGTTAAATCCTCACATTGGTCAGATCCGTTGAATTGTTAGAATGCAGCTTCTTTCCACTCTGCTGGAGTAATTGCTTTTGGGGAAACTGTTACAGGAAATAAATTTCATGAGAAGACAGAAAGGAAACCCATCAAATGGAGATTTCTCCAAATTCGGAAACTTTCAGCATTGCTACTACCTGGAATTAAACACAAACAAACAAACAAAAAACCTTTCTAGACTAGGATAAAACTGATATGGGGGGAAAAATCTTAGAAAAAGAGAATTTTTACGATACCTGCCCATGGGAATTTTTGGACCAATTAACATAAATATCTGTGTCATGATTTGGAACAATTTCCAACACAAGATTATCAAAGAATTGGCTACTCACAAGAGCAGTTAAGTGCCACCAGGTTTCAGATAAACGTTTTAAAAATATTTAAAGTAATGTGTCACCCCTTAAGATTCTAACATGAAATTAGATAAATGAACCTACAGATTGGTGAAACAGAATAGCTACTTTATAACGTAATCCTTAGGCAACATGTTACTTCAAGCAAATTAGGTGTACTTTAAAGGCTTTCACCCAAGCAGGAAAAAAAGCCCTCCATAACTGTTTGGTTTTCTCTTTTTTGTCAAGCTGTAAATGTTATTTAAAAATTATTTGTAAAGAGAAAGCTTAGCTCTTATCAGTGTTACCCTTTTTTTTCTTGAGAATGCAGAATGGACATTTTCTTCTGCTTTTAGGCATCATTTGAACTGGTTGAGTAGGATGGGATTCTTAGAATCTCAAATGCCTCTACATCATTTACTAATTTGTCCTTTCCCTTCCTTCTTGTACCTGGAAACATCAGTTTAAGAGAGAAAATTTGCTATTTTCTCCAAATGCTGGTCTGGGCAGCTCCTTTGTTAGCGTCTGGAGGGTCTGGGGAACAAGAATGGAAGTCTCTTGATATTTCATTGAAGCGCAATACTCCTTTGCAGATTCAGGACTACAGTGAAACAAGGCAAGCACCTACAGGGCAAAATTTAAAACGGCACTCATTCCTAGATGCCTTGCACTTGCTGTACTTGCTTGACCTTGGGAGTGAATGCCTCCTTAAATTTTGTACTCTAGGTGCTTCCATTGCCTCATAGGAGTCCTGGCCTTGCTCCTTGGCATTCAAGGAACTAGGTGGGGAGGGAGGGCATTCCAGGAAACAAGAGTCTTCAGGAAGCTCTACCATGGTAGTAGCCTTTCTGGACCCACAGAAGGGCATTTGCTTGCCTTCCCGAAGAACGCCAAGATATTCCCACTCCTTCCATCTAGAGCTCTTGTGCAAGAGAGTTTTGGTTGTTAACAATTCTCTGGATAAGGGCCCCAGTATACAATGACAACAATTTATAAAACCCAAATGAGGCCAAATTTGGTTAAGTGATTTAGAAACCAAAAATCAACCCTTTTTCATGTCTTTGGTTTCTCTCATATATCTTGTCATATGATTGCTTTTTGTCTTCCATGGCTTCACTTATTTTATCTTATTTGTTTGTTTGTTTATTTATTTATTTAGGTTTGGACATTGGCACTTCTACCTAAATAAGTTAGTAGGCTTCTGAACCAGAGGACATCTGCTAAGGACAGAGAGGTAAATTGAAAAGAGTCCTGTGTGTGTGTGTGTGTGTGTGTGTGTGTGTGTGTGTGTGTGTGTGTCAGGAGGAGCTCAAGGAGAGAAGTTCAGCTTAAGTGATTTAAAGATCAATGTCAAATTTTATAATATGCAACCCATTTCACTAGGAAAAAAAGCTTAAGAGACTCTGGATAACATTTACTTTTTTAGTGCAAGGACATTGTTTAGTTTTCTTTTTTTGGTATGTGTGTGTGCCTGCACAAGTTGAATCCTAAGAATATTTGATAGTTTTAATTGAGGCCATTGCAGGACAAGGAAGCTCTAGATGACTTATTTCATGTTTGATACAGAGATCAGATTTTTAAAATGCCATCCTCTGCAGCCTCTATTTCACCTCAATATGTGACATAACATCCTTTCCTTCATCTAAGTATCCTTTTTGTGGTAAATAATGTTTGATAAAAACCTTCTGCAGCAAGATGTTCATTTAGTTATTAAAACTTCTCCTATCTTTTGTCTTATTTTAATATGAGTTTAATTCTAAATGTAGTATATATCCACTTTAGCATGATGGGGGGGGGGGTGCCTATTT